GTACCTTTTTTGGCATATTTGGGCCCTATTAATCCTAACATGTAGCCTGCTGTTCATAACTCATAATAATTTAATGCATGTACAGGTCCTATCAGTGACCAAGTGATAAAAACTATTGAATACTAGGAGTTATACCCGGCTTCAATCTCAGGCGAACGGGCTTGCCTGAGTGGTTGGTTTTCATAATTTCTGATATGTGTAACCTGAATACAATCTAATTTAACTTAGAAAGTCTTACACGAAAGTATTTCTTGTTTCAGGCAGATACCGTTAGCGTGGTGCTTCCCTGCGAGATAGTGGTTAAATGATTCTAACTACCGTACTGAAGGGCCGGGTGTATAGTGTCTTTACGGCATGCTGCTATTCTAAATGTATGGCAACCGAAAGTCGTGTCGTGTGGTTTCTGCTAGGCGAAGAGGGATGGGAGACCCTAAAACCGCATCGCGCTCTTCCTCAGAGTTCGGGTGGAAATGGGCAAAGTCGTACCTGTCACCTGTATGCTGCCCAAGGCTCTTGTATACTACGGACTCACTCTTGCACTTCTTGCAAATTCATGGGCTTGTTCTGATTAGGTCGGACAAGGGAGTTTAATCACAACAACAGCAAAAATCCTAGTATGCTTTGCCGTTTTCAAATAATGTAACATAACCATGCAAGTAACTTGGTAATTCTTATTCCATTAAAGTTTCTTTATGCGAAATAGCGAGATACAGTCAAGTTCTTCATAACCATTACATTCTAAAAATGTTTGTCTAACAATTGTTGTCTGCAAGAAGTTTTTTTTAAAACTCTTAATTTCTCCTTTTCAGCTACCTGAATTATTTGAGCAGTTCAGCAAAATTACGGTTTTCCAGATTATGACAGATTTCACATTGTCGACATATAGCTGCAAGCTTTCAGTTGCGTACATATTATTATCGAAGCACACAGTATGTTGCTGTAGTTGTTTTAAGCTGAATTTGTAGAGCTCATTAAGTTTCTCGAAGCCAGAAAACATCAAAAATCGATTGCACCTTGGCCGGAATTCCAATTCGATTCTTTCTCTTCGTTAATTGGATGTGTAAACCACTTACACATGATAGCATGCACGGAGGAATGAGAACTTAAGGGGCAAATGGAGAAACGTAGGAGTGATGAGGATTAATTGACAATTTATCGTCCAAGTATTTTAGTTAGGGTGCAAATGAAAAATGCATGTTGATGTTTTTATTTTTTAGTCCAGGTGTGCTTTGTCCCTGAAGGACTGTTATTTTCGTTTTGCGATTTTACGTTGGTTCACTATAATGTCCGTTTCACTTTTCAAACTGTTGCCACCAAATGTTAGAGTCCTGCATTATATTTGAAGAAATTAAATAATGAAAGATCTGCTAAATGTATGTATATTTCTCGCATTGTGATGAAACAACGGTTCATAGAGCTATTGAATTTTGAAGGACGTAATCCTACTCGGAATATGGGCATGTGGAAGCCCAAATTTGGAATTTGTTTTATTATCGATTTCATATTTTGTAAAACTTTAACGAATTTTTGAATAACAAGCTCAAGGATTTCAAAGCGAGCAATGGCAACGTTGAACAGGGGAAAAAAAAGAAAAAAAAAAACATTTTTATCTCCAGCGCGCGAAACTCTGTATCGGAAATTCTAAAGAAATGCTCAATTTAAAACTATTTTGAGATAACTCTTGAACTGAATTTTATGTTTTAAGTGCAAAGAACGTGATATTTAATAAATAAAGGTAACAGATAAAATGTTAAAAAAACACCCCTTTAGACATAATTTAAAATCTGAAACCTTTCGGATTTTTTTTAAAACCATAAAGAATTAAACACCAACTGTACCCATACTGCGATTCGAGTCATATTGCTTCCACTTTTGTGAACTAGATGTGATAAGCCCTTACCTCACGAGCACGCGCTTGGAAATGCGTAACTCCTCATACGTTATTAATATTACGGATTTGAAATAATGAATGCTTTGAAACTGAGGGGGAAAAAAGATCTATTTTGCCTAAGTTTTGTCGCTGTAATATTGTTTAATTTTACATTTCTACATTTATTACAAATCTTTCTAACTACAAAATATTATTTTGTTATCAGATAATTTTTCTTCATCAATATATTTCCTGTAAGTTTCTCTATTCTACAATATTCTTTTAAATGATTATTTAAAATTCGGTACATAATTTAATTGACTCGTCCACATTGCCAAATGCAAAATATAATGAAGTTGAAATCTCTTCCGCAATGCAATTTTCCTATAGACCTTCCAGTGCTCACTTAACATTGTACGTATGCTTATTTAACATTCGAAGCTATCTCTTCCCAAATCTCGAATATTTATGAAATCTGAGAACATTTATAAGATTCAGAGTAATCCTGCATAATTCGAGATGTCTATCATTTAAATTAGACAGAAATTGCTTATCAGAAGCCAGTTAATAATAACAATTAAGGCAACAAATGAAGTCCTGCCATGCAGGGGTTTATTTATTTTTATTAATAGTTATCTTAATTTGCGAACCTTTCCTGCTTTCTCTTTTACCTCTCGCGTTTCCTCACCAGGCTGTAAATGAGTTAGGGGGAACGAAGCTATTTAAACAATAGGAGAGAAAAGTTTAGCCAGTTTTTAGTTGTGATTTCGCTATTGTGAGGGCACGTTCCTATTTATTGTCTTCCAGCTGTTAACATTAATATCAGCTACCCATTCTTGCCGCCGAGCTATTCTGCGGGTAGAGGTTTCTCAGTCAACCTGTTAGCTTAAATTAAATAGTGTAATCTCTGTACCTTTATATGTTACATTATCTTTTAAGTTTTCATCGGAAGTGATCAGTGTTAAGCACGTCAAGTCCGTGCGGTCTGCTAGTTATATTGTGTTCAATAAAAGGATGTTTACGCCCTTCTCCTGGTTTTGTTCATCTTTAAGCCTGTAAAGAATTAATTTGCCCTTAATTCTCAAGGATCAACACTTAGGTATATCAAGTCACATTTTTATGATAGCTAAACGAACTAGATCTTAAAATCATTCGAAATACGTGCCGACAGATATATTAGTTTTTGTTATTACAAGGTAACACTGAAAACACGACCAGCACTTTCTTTGTTCAAGAAAGGAAGTAAATAAAGAAATAAAAAGAGGTCAACGAGAATCGCATCCAACTTCTCTACTGAATTCAATTTCGATTCCTCGAATGGAATTTATTCTAACAAGCAATCTAAAAAAATAAGAGAATTATTAATAATATTTCTTAATAAAGTTCGGAGTGTCGGTTGAGAAGAAGCAAAGTTATACGTGTAAATATAAAGGTGAAAGAAAGAAGTAAAACTGAAAGAAAGAAAAGTGTCTTCCCCCCCGCACCCATGATTACAAAAACAAGTGTGGGAGTATTTACAAGAGAATTAGTGAGGTGAAAGATCTAGTTATGAGCACACAAGGGCAATGAACGCTTCGCAATAGCGAACGGTTTACGAATTTAGCGCCACCAAGCGACAAAATACTACACCGTAGGAATAAATAGCGTTACTAATTACTTTTTATCATCTTTTTCACTGTTTCCTTTTCCATGTTCGTTTCCACTTAGCCTCAGTCATATAATACAGATTTTATTTATTTCATCGGCATTTTAACACTGAACGTGGCTAAATAATTTATAACGCATAACATTATTATAGTTTTATAGAATTGTTAAGAAAATTTAAGACCTTCTTACTTGAATCCTAATAATAATTTCATTAACGCAAATTTCCGTTACTGCTTTCGAAAATTTACGATAATTTTCTGACAATTCATTTCAGTAACACCTGTGGGTTGGTGTCCCGTTAGAACGGCAGCTCTTTAACTATGGCTCTAACTACATAGTTAAGTGAAGGTTGTAGTTAGAAAAAACGATAAGTTGGTTCATTGGTTGGTTGCTTGGTTATTTGAATATAATAGAGCGAACGAGGGCTATCTGCTTAAGGGAAGGGATACCTACGTGGAGGACATTTCTAGAAAAACTGGCTGGTATGCACATTACACAAACGATTGTTTAATACCTAACCCATGACGTTTTGGCACTCAAAAGTAATTTAAAAGATAAAAGTAAGACTTATGCTGACTGGATTGACCACAACTTCCTATTTTGATCTGATGTAGGTTTTTTAGACAATAATGAAACTTTCTCAAAGTTGAATTTATAAGCATAGTAATTTGAGAAAAGTCGATACTATAAAGTTAGTTTTCATTTAATGCAAATTAAACTTCAGAAAATGTTGATTTTAAAAAAAATCCCATTAAGAATATAAGATTTTCAGAATGTGAATAAATTTAGTTTCGAAAAGCATTTGTAGAATTTCAAGGAACCGGACATCAGATATTTAAAATTTCAGTTATCCGGGGAAATCGATGTTCTTTTTAGACAAAGTGATATAAAGCTTTTTTATTTGAAAACAATGGTTTCATTTAATAACTCGAAGAGTCAACTTTACTCGAATTTCGTTTAGCTTCCTGGATTGCAATATCTGAAAAAGTTTTTTCGGATCTATGCCTTGCCATGTAACAGTAGTTATTATTGTTCATAGTGGCTACAATTCACCATTGGTCATAGCATATTCTATTTGTCAACCGAACTTTAAATTTTAAGGACTTTATCTTTGTATCACAAGGCATTTGTAAAATAATCTTGGATGCGGCAGCTTTTGTCCTTGTTATTGTTCCCAGTTTTAATGACTAACAACGTGTTTGAATTTCGAATTTTTATGGTGGAGATTTCATGCTTATCATTCTTTAACATCGTCTCTCCTGTCACCAAGCGCCCTGGCGTGGTATACTTCTCGGCTTAGGTTTAAGAGGCCTTACCTATTTTACTATTTAGGAAAGCCTATTTTACTGTCATTTATAAACATTACTATTGTTGTTATTTGTATTCCACAAATGCCCCAGGATAAAACTAAAACCATAGTCTTGTTGCATTTAAATGCATGCCAAGTTCTCTCTCCATTTTACTTATTTTTCTTTCCTTTCAGATTTATCGAAGCCTCAGCTCGAGAAATTCATGGACTGTGGGAAAGACGGATTTTCGGCAGAGGTAATAAAGTTTATATAGAAATTGATTCTGGTACCTTGTCTTTTGCTAACGAGATCTGATTTTTCCAGCTGAATCTATGAGAGAAATTCGCATGGGTATCATTGTATCCATTTACAATTATCTAATCAGTGATACAACAATGTTATTGTAAAGCGCCTTTTCAGAAAAATTGTATGGAAATAATGGAATCGAAAATTATTATGATGTAAAATTTTGCATATGATTTTCTTTAATGTTAGAAACATTTTAGCGGAATCTTTCCAAAATATTGTTGCGTACGTACAGGTTCGTAAAACCTGAATGCGCACAGAACTGATAATAGCTTGAAACGAAACATTTCACAGTTCATCAACTTTCTACAAAAATAATCATACAGTTTTTCACAGTATCAGAGTACAATCAGTAATTACACTTCAAACTACTAAGAGCGTTAAACGCAGTGCTATGAAAAGCCACAGCAGCACCTCTGGTATAGGGTGTAAGTTCTCAACTTGGCTTTTGTACTACTGAATCTGTAGTCATAATTTTTAGGTACTACGGGAGTAAAATTCACACCAAAAAGATCTGAGAATTCACGATTAAGCTAAATAACATGGTTTTTCTTAGCATGGGTGCTACCGCCCAAATGTCGTTGTTGATGGTATCTAAAAGGCCGTTACTATTCCTAAAGGTTATAAATGTCTGTACGGAAGCAAGCGAGCCGCAATAAATGTTTGGTAAATATGATTGACTAAACATTTTTTAACAAACATTTAAACATTCACTTTGCTGAACAATTAGGTTATTTGGAGTGGTAAACGGGAAAAATCGTCTATGCCTTGAGCAGAATTCGAGCCACGGATCTTCAAACTGCTAGCCAGACGTGCTACCAGTAAGCCATAAGAGTATGCAGGGGGGGGGACTGATAATCCCTTACAACTTGATTATACTGTAAGGATCTTAAGTTTTACTAACGTTTATTTTATTTTAAATTTTTACTATCACTTCTTATTTTCTACTTCCGGCCAGAATTATAAGCGTTAAGGTTATTTATGCAAAGTTTGTCTGGCGAACGCCAAGTATTTAAGTTGTGGCTTTTTGCCAAGCGAGAGAGAGGAAGCAGTGAGTCGAAGCAGGCCGCTTACCTTAGAAGTTTTACTCAGTTGCTGGTTGCCTTCCAGGCCAGAGGTTTTAATCCTCTTGATAAATTTTAAACGTATTGTAGTGTTCACAGTTCTCTGTACTACATACGGCTTCCTGTTAATATAAGGCCAATCTTCCACGTTTATTATTTTAAAGTTAAATTAGAGTTTAGTTCTATTTTTATATTTTTACGTTAGACCCCAAGTGGTGGGTCGTGTATTCCGAAGTACGGAAAGTTATTGTAAATAGAGAAAAATAAAGGGTTTTGTATACCCTTCCTGTGTATCCTGTCTACTTCCCACAGTTATTGAACATAGCTTTAGTAAGCTCTCTGTTCCGAGTCAGGTCCTTGCATGTTCCCGAAGAAAGGTTAAGACGGAACATTGAACCCTGATAGTGGCGCCCAACGAAGAAGAATAACCATGGCCGAGTTTCAAGAAGAACCTGTGCTGCCTGCAGAAGAAACGGCTCAGAATCCAGAAATGCCAGCTGCCGCCCTGGAAGGATTTGGTTACATCGTCCAGACCATGCGCGCTTCGATGATGAAACCAGAAGCAACATTTAATGGAAACTCACCGGTAACCAGTTTTTTGGAAAAATTGGATGACCACTTCATGCTCTACCCCGTGCACGAATTTCAAAAAGTTACCTTAGCTACCAGCGCTTTGAGGGGCCAAGCGCTCTTAACTGGTTCAAATGTATAGGCAGAAGTCTCTTGGGTCAAGCAGGAAGTCCCACCTATACTTACGAGAATTTCAAGACTGCCCTAGTAAAAGCCTTCCCTGTCGTAAGGGATCGTGCGAAATTAGAAACGGAAACTTTTCAGTATATATCAGCAAAGAATCGAAAATCTCTCAAGCTTTATTTTAAGAAAAATTCACGTCTTCAAACTCTTGTATGGAAACCGTCCGGATCCTGAGATAATTCAAGTGATTTTGCCGAGGTTACTGCCCCAAGTGCAAGACTTTATTGAATTAAAGAAATCCGACTACACTGGAAAAAAAGTTATTTGAGCTAGCAATCCAGTTTGAAAGTAGAAGAACGGCGGACATTGAAAGAAGACGCCAATATCAACAGCGAAACCAATTTGGTGCGCCAAGACTACAGCAAAACTCAAGCACACGGCTACGGAAGGGAAAAGCGAATCAGTGGGCAAGGAAACCCGAGCATTCAAAAACAGCCGGCGAACGTCGACAGTTCAATAGCAATCCAGGAAAAAAGTCTCAAGGCCAGTGGAAAAAGAAGGAAGGAAAGCATGGAAATGAAAAAAGAATTTAAACTAACTAAAACGGATTTCTGCTGACGGGAGGGGTGCGGAAATCCGAAGGCCACGAAAACCCCTCTTCCTTCAAGTTAAATACAGTAAATGGTGAAAAATTTGACTCTTCCGAAGATTGAAGTGTTGGTGAATAATATCCCAGCCACCGCACTCCTGGATACAGGCGCGCAGTGTTCCTGTGTGGCAGAAGATTTTTTTTAGGAAGTATTTTCGTAAATATCGCATATATAATTCGGATAATACGACAGTGTTAGCGGCGCAAGGAGAAAAGATGTAAGTGTATAGGTAAATTACCGCTGTATATCCGTATCAAGGACGAACAAGTAAAGGTGATGTTTTTTCATAGTAAAGAATCTGCAAGCACATATTATCTTAGGAATAGATTTTCTTTCAGAGGCACAAGCAACGCTGGATTTTAATGAAGCGTCCCTTAAGCTGACGATGAAACCAGTTCGTGAAGAAAAGGCTGAACCGCCGATGTTAAAAACTTGACCACCTGCCTAATGAAGAGCAACGAAGAATCCGACAAGTGGTAAGTGAATTTGCTTCGTTATTTAGTGATATTCCAGGATTTACTCAGGTTACTAACCATAGTATTGACACCGGAGATTCAATGCCAGTTCGCCACAAAAGCATACCGGTATGATAAGAATAAGGAAAAAATTATAGAATGGCATATCACCGATATGCTACGTAAAAAGATCATAACGCCCATCTCAAGTAGTTATGCTAGCCCGGTGGTTTTATGTAAGAAAAATAATGACTATCCTTTGACACATCCAAAAAGGTGGAGATTCGCAATTGACTACCGTAAATTAAACTCCATAACTAAATATCCGGTATATCCGTTACCTATATTGAAGAAGAAATTCTAAGGAACATAAAATCAACCAAATATATGACGACTTTAGACTTAACGACTGGTTATTTTCAAATAGGGGTTAGGCCTGAGGACGTGCCTAAGACTGCTTTTATAACCAAGTCTGGCACTTATGCATTTTGCGTATGCCGTTTGGCCTTTCAGGGGCACCGGCAACATTTCAGCGATGTATGGACATTGTGTTAAGACCTGTTCTTGGAAAGTCCACACATTTATCTATTTAGACGATATCATTATTACTAGTGATAATCTCGACCAACATGTACAGGATTTAAGACAGGGTGTTTTCTTTATTAAATGAGGCCGGTCTAAAAGTTAATGTCGAAAAGTGCAAAATTTGCAGCCCCTGAATTAAAATATTTAGGTTACAAAATATCTCAGAAAGGGAATCGAGACAGACGAATCAAAAATAATCGCTGTACAAAAGTATCCGACTCCAAACACGGCGAAGAAGCTCTCTTCTTTTCTAGGACTTTGTTCATATTATAGGTCCTTTATAAAAGATTTTGCAGCTATCGCTGAAGCCATTGTTAAAATTAAAAAGGAAAAAGGCAAGATTCTCGTGGACGGCCGAAGCCAATAGTGCTTTCGAAAAATTAAAACAAGCATTAACGCAAGCCCCTGTGTTGAAATTTCCTGAAAAGGATGAGAATTTAGAAATTTCAGTGGATGCTTCGGATTATGCGGTAGGAGCGGTACTTTCGCAAAATCAGCAGCCCGTGGCATTTTTTAGCCGAACTTTAAATCAAACACAAAAAAACTATTCCGCGACCGAGAGAGAGGCACTTGCAGTTCTGTTAGCAGTGCAAAAGTTCCGAGTCTATTTTGGAAAGGCGCCAATAACAGTGTACTCTGATCATGCGGCGGTAACTAGATTGTACTCAGGGGAAAACTTATTCCCAAGGTTAATAAGATGGGCACTCAAGCTACAAGAATATAATCTGGTAATCAAGCATACCCCCGGAAAGGAAAATATCGTAGCAGATGCCCTATCCAGAATTAAAATAGATGAAAGAAGGTAATACCGTAAAGGTGGCAATGCTCACAGCATGTACAATAAATTCCCGAGAAACTGTAATAACCGAACTGGGTAAGGATCCTGAGTTTGGAAGCATTTATGAGTATTTAAAGGATCCTGAAAATTTTAGCCACCAAGATATTGTGGCGATAAGAAATAGGGCGGCCCATTACGAACTAATAGATGGTCTATTATTCTATACAAAAACTACGAATTCCAACAACGAATTTCGACCTGTTATCCCAGCTAGTCTTAGATTAAATATCCTGCAGGAGCTCCATGACAGCCCTTTAGCTTCTCATGCTGGTATTCGAAAAACTATCCAACGCGTACGCGAGGCAGTCTACTTTCCTGAACTGCAAAAGTTAACAAGGGCGTATGTCCAGTCCTGCCCAACATGTCAAGCAGTTAATTATATTAATTTCCGCCCGGCCGGGTTTCTAAATAGTATTAAATCCGAATTTCCAAATGAAATAATTGGCATCGATTTATTGGGCCCTTTCCCAAAAAGTCAGTTAAATAAAAGTCGCTATCTCCTTGTTATGGTTGATCATTTTAGTAAATGGACCGAAATTGTTCCCTTAAAACGAGCCTCCGCGAAATTAGTTACTGATTCTATTTTAAATAAATATATTTTAAAATACGGGGCGCCCCTAAAAGTTATATCGGATAATGGTCCTCAATTTGTAAGTAATATATTT